TTAGTCTAATTTATTGGTCCAACTGATCCATTTTAGCTATTGAGTTAGTTGATCTACTTTAGCTTTGGAGATAGCCGACTTTTTTGATAGGCGAGACTCTCACTCAACGAATCCGGTCCCATTTCCACTATGGAGAGTGTTGATTCATTTTAGTAGTTCACATAGCTGATCAATTTCAGCTGGAAATATAACTGATCTATAACTAATCCATTTTAGCTGGAGATATAGATGATCCATTTCAACTATTGATATAGCTGATCCATTTCACCTGGAGATATAACTGATCCACTTCAATTGTTGACATAGTATATCCATTTCAGTTGGCTATAGATGTAGCTAATCTATTTCCGCTATTGATATAGCTGATTGATTTCAAATGGAGATGTATCTTATCCTTTTCAGCTATTGATTTTGGCTAATTGATCCATTTCAGTTGCAAATATATTAGCTAAGTGATTCATTTCAGCTGCTGACATAGCTAATCCATTTCAACTGGAGGTGTTGGCTAGCTGATCCATTTTAGCTTTAAAAATATTTAGCTAATTGATCTCTTTTAGCTGCTGGAGGAAGACTAAATCTCCTGAATTCATTTAAAGCTATTAACTTATTAAGGTCTCAGCTTATCGAGGAGGCTGTTAGCGCAGTTAAACTTATTTGGTGAATCCTAGAAAGATTTATTCTTGGAGATGTTGAAATCTGATAGGTTGTATTTTTTATAGTTATTTTTAGTAAATTTTATCAAGGATTTCTTTCAAGGTTTATTTAATTTATTTATTTTAGTCTAATTTATTTATTTTTTTCAATAAGGCTTCCTTGAATCACATTCACTTGATCTTGAGGAATTTTGAAGGATTTTTTTAGTAAATTTTATCCAGGATTTCTTTTAAGGTTTATTTAATTTATTTATTTTAGTTAAATTTATTTATGTTTTTCAATAAGGCTTTCTTGAATCACATTCACTTGATCTTGAGGAATTTTGTAGGATTTTTATAGGAAACTAGCCAAAAATGCAAAAAGAAGATTTAAAGCAATCAATTGTCCATGACTTCTAGCAAGGAGCACACCCAGGGCGTGCTACCCAGCACCCCCGTGCTATTTCCAAGAAAAGTCAAATGAGGGTCAGACTCAAGAACACCCAAGGCATGCTAATTAGCACCCCTGTGCTAATCTGCAGAATTCAACTTGGGCAAAAAAATTCTAGCTTTAGCTCATGTTGCCTGCATGAATCTGCATGAGAATCTTATGGGACGTGTCAAATCAAGCTTAAATCCTATCTAGACACTAAGAGAGTCCTAATTGGGAAGAAATATAAAGCCTAAATAGTTTCCTATCTCCAAAAGATTTCTTCCTCAATAAAGATTTACTTTCATAAACGAATTCGAAGATTTTCCAATGAGTCTATATAAAGAGAGAGACTAGTTAGGTTATTTTTAGCTTTTGTTCTATTATTCTCTATATAGTTTCTCTCTATTTAAGACTTCAAGTATTCAATTTGGCGCAAGATTCAAGGAAGCTGCTCAATCCAATCGTTGACTAGTTTTTATTTCTAAACTCTCTTCTTGTTTATTATTCATTATGGGATTATTTACAAGTTTAATTGAGTTTAATTAATTTACTATGTCGAACTAAATCTTTTTACTAAGGCCCTAGATTGATTTATTTCATTAATCACCAAGATATAATACGCATTAAGGATTGATTTCTGGTGACCTAGGATGAAGAATGATATGGCTAAATTTGTCTTAAAGTGTTTGACATTTCAATAGATCAAAATTGAACACTAGGCACTTGCTGTAAACTTCATCCATTATCAGTACCTATGTGGAAGTGGGAAATAATTACTATGGATTTTGTTATGGGTCAACCTAGGACTCTAAAGGGAGATGATGCTTTATGGGTTATAGTTGTTAGATTGACTAAGTCAGCTCATTTTCTGCCCATCAAATTTGGTAGTTCACTGGAAAAGTTAGCCCAAAGATATATAGATGATATTGTGAAACTTCATGATGTACCAATATCAATTGTTTCTGACAGAGATCCACAGTTTACTTTTAGATACTAAACTAGTTTACAGAATGCTTTAGGCACCAAATTGAATTTTAGTACAACATTCCATCCTTAAACAGATGGAAAATTTGAAAGAACTATTTAGACTATTGAGGAGATGTTAAAGGCTTGTATACCTAAATTTCAAAGATCATAGAATCAATGCATTGCCTTGATAGAATTTGCTGAAAATAATTAGTAACACAGTAGTATTGGCATGGCACCATATGAAGCATTTTATGGTAGAAAGTGTAGAAGTCCCTTATATTGGGATGAAGAAGGTATTAAAATATTGGAGGGACCTGAGATAGTGCAGGAAACTGTGGATAAAGTTAAAATAATCAAAAGTAAGTTTAAAACAACCTATAATAGATAAAAGAGCTATATAAATCAACGGAGAAGAGAAATGGAATATCAAGTTGTCACGCCCAATTCTAACCACCAGAAGAATTGTCCGCTTTGGATCAAGCCGAATCCATCCCATACTGGATTGGCAGGATCTGCATGGTTTTGTCCTACAGGTAAAATGGGAAGCTTCCTAGGTGGTCAGCCATCTTAGGATTTCCGTTAAGTGAGCACACTTAACCTTGGAGTTCTTCCAACTCTCCAAGCCATTTCACCAAAAGGCACCTCTGTTGATTAGTTTTTCCCTTTTCGATATATGATTTGTGTCCTGCAGTAGGGATATCATAGGCCCACCAGCTTCCGCATGGTTCATCCTCGAACCATACATCTATTGGAGAGGGTTCGGCTTTGATACCAACTGTCTACTCACCATTTATCTTATGCCTTTTCTTCAAATCTTCTTTTAAGTTTTAACTACCCTTGTGATCATTTCATTTTATTATCTCATCCAATTGGCCCCGTGATATAAATAGACAACTTCCGAAAACATTTTCTATATAAATAGTCAAAATTTTAAAATCGTAATATGATTTAAATTCAACATCAAGCTGAGATTTTAAATTCAAATAACAAGATAATAAAGTGATAAAAATTTTATATTTTGAATAAAATCTAAAGGAATTCAATAGCTGAGCTGGATACTTGAACACAGATTCCTAATTATCTTAAAGTTATTCACTCTTCTCAACCTATAGCCTTAGACATGCAACAAAAAGACTCAAGGTTATTTCATACAATTTATCCATTCCTGCAACCCCAATACAATCATAATCAAATTGTATAACCATATCAGTTTGGTAATAGTTCACATGTTAAAATTTAGGTAATCTATTATCGATATTACTTCTATAGGTATCCAAATTCATTAATCTGCCATACGAATGAATATCCTATTTATACTCTACGTAATCCTACTCACTGACACTAATAAAGTCCACATGGAAAGTAGTGCATTGGGTGATCAAGCCAATCCACTACCGTCTAGGTATTACTTTATTCCCAAGTCTAAGGGTTGATACCTGCTTAGAACCTATAGGTATTGTGATAGGTTTATTCTGTTGTCCACTATTTTCACTCAAATTTAATTCTTTCTATAGTCTATTGATCTACACAATAGGTATGGATTTTTCCTTCACAGGGTTGAGTGCATCCACCATGTGGTTCCCGCATACGTATGGCACAACCCAAGAGGGGGGTGAATTGGATTTTCTAAAAATTAAAAATTTAACTTTCAAAAACAAAATTAGAATTCTGTTGCAACGGAAATAGAATGCAAACATAAATTAGAATTCTGATTGCAACGGAAAACAACCCAAGAGGGGGGTGAATTGGATTTTCTAAAAATTAAAAATTTAACTTTCAAAAACAAAATTAGAATTCTGTTGCAACGGAAATAGAATGCGTTTGTGAGAGTAAGTTATTAAGATTAGAACTTCCTCACAAAACTCAATGCAAAAATTAAAAAAACTTTGTAAAAAGAAACTATTAATTAGAACTGCTTCACAATATCTTAAGTAAACTTAGAAAACTGATTAAAACCCAAATTGTGAAATTGACTGAATATAGAGAACATATTAGAACTTGGTATAATCACAATGCAGAAATCCAGAGTTCTAATGTTCAATAAAGATAAAGCTTATTCGAGTCTAGAATAATAAAACCATTAACAACTTTGCATTTTGAAAGAATTAACAAAAGTATAAGTAAAATGGAATCAAGCAGAATTTCAGAAAATAGAAAGATAAACACAGTGATTTATAGTGGTTCGGCACTAACTCGCCCACATCCAATCCTCAAGACTCATTTTGAGATCCACCACTATGTTATCTCTTTTCAATGGTAAGAGACAAACCAACAGTATAAGGCAATAGATCGATACATAGATCTACCTTTTGTCCCACTAGATTTTCCAAAGGTTCTAGTCAACCTCAACCCTTTCTATTTTTGCAGAAAAAAGAAGCTCAAATCAAGACATTAGAATCCCACACAATGAGAAGGTCACTTGATAACCTATTTCACAATATCTTTTCACCTAAGCTATTACACAAAAGTTTTTCATATAAAAATCTGTCTACAACAGATTACAAAATTTATACAGACAGAGAGAAATGTAAATATAAGCACAGGACAAACAGAAATAAGATTACAAAATCGTTTTAAAGAACAGAACTGTTTTCAAAAGAAGTTGTTATAAAATTTTCTTTTCTCTTAAAAATAATTCGTTTCCTTGAGATTCAAAAATTAATCTCTCGATCTTCTGCAATTCGTTTTAGATTTGAAAACTGGTGGCTGCGCAATCCTGAATGTAAAGCTCTGGTTCAAGCTGATTGGGATCTTTCGAATGGGCAAGATATTCTTAGTCGGTTAAGCTCATGTGGATCTACTTTGTTAAATTGGGGTCAACGATTGTGAAATAAACATAAGGTGGAGCTTGATGTTTGCCGGAGAACAATGAAGCAGCTTCGGGGTATTCGTAATCTTAGTGCTACCAACAGATTTATTGAGGCTCAGAATCGATTTAATGAACTTTTAGATGAACATGAAGTTCGATGGAAGAGAGGGCAAAGGTATTTTGGTTACGTGAAGGGGATTGCAATACCAAGTTTTTCCACGCTGCTACTACGGCAAGGAAAAAGAAGAACCTTATCTCTCGTTTGATGAACGCCAATGGAGAATGGATTGAGGATAGAGATGCTTTGGGTTCACTGCTTACAGATTACTTCTCGGGTATGTTCTCTTCGTCTCCTGGTATTACGGATTCGGTTGTAGATGTTATGCCAGCTTGCATTACAGATGAAATGAACAATGAGTTGTTGGCTCCTTATTCGGATGATGAGATTAAATCTACTGTGTTCAGTATGCAACCTGATAAAGCCCCAGGTTTAGACGGTTTCAATCCGGCATTCTACCAGAGTCATTGGGATATTGTTGGACCTGCTATCTGTGCTGCTTGCATTTATTTTCTTGAGCAACGTTGTTTCCCTGCAAATTTGAATAATACTTTGCTTGTGTTGATTCCTAAGAAAGGTGTGCCGTAACTATTGGCTTGTGTCGAATTCCTTAAGAAAGGTGTGCCGGTAAACAACAGGGGATTTAAAGAACCCACTCGCGCTCTTTGTAAATGTTCTTTCAAGTATTTATGAATAAGCTGTTGCCTAATCGGCTTAAGGAGAATACAGTAGCCTGTCTGATTATTTCTCCTTCGAAAGTGCCTTTGTTATGGGTCAAGAAGTATCTCAGGACAACTAGCATCTATTTGCTTAATGAATATGATGGTCGCATTTTTTTCTTAAATAGAAGAAGAGGTAAAGAGGGCTTTGGTGACTTTAAAGATGGATCAATTTCGGAAGGCGTATGATAAACTTGAATGGTCCACCTAGCATTACTGAGCGTGCCTTCTAAAGATGGGTTTCATCCGCTTGTTGGGTGAATTTATTCAAGCTGTATTTCATCTGTTTAAAATACTGGGATTTCATATGAAGGCCACTCCCTTTATGGGGTCGATTTATTCCATGCAAGAGTACCATATCGGCAGGCGCGATCCCATATCGCCATACCATCTTTATTGCTGTGCAGAAAGGTTTGAGCAGGTTAACTACAAGCTAAGTTGATAAGAAGCCGTTTGCATGGTCTTGTTCTTTAGCCCGTGTGTTCTTTAGCCCGTGGTGCTCCGATGATTCATCATCTCTTCTTCGCAGATGATAGCTTGTTAGTTTTTCGGGCTGATGTAATGGAGGCTTCTATGGTTAAACAAGTTATTGCTACTTATGCTCAAGCTTCGGGCCAACATATCAACTTGAGGAAGTCTTCTGCTTGTTTCTCCAAGAATGTGTCTGCTGATTTACGGGGTGAATTGTGTTCTGTATTGGGTGTTGAGGAGACACCTAACTTGGGTATTTATCTGGGTCTTCCTACTAGGGTGGGTATTAACAAAAAAGAAGTCTTTGCTTTCTTGAAAGACCGTGTGTGGAAGAAGCTCAATTCATGGAAACGTCGTTGTTTATCTAAGGCAGGCAAAGAAGTCATGTTAAAGACTGTATTACAAGCACTCCCAAATTATGTGATGAACTTGTTTGTACTACCTAAGACTTTTTGCCATGAATTGCAGCGGATGTTGAGTAACTTTTGGTGGGGTAAAGGTAAAAATCATGATAAAGGTTTGTGTTGGGTGAGCTGGGATAGAATGAGTAGACCAAAGTGCTTTGGGGGTCTTGGTTTTAAAAAGCTTCATGAGACCAAAGTGCTTTGGGGGTCTTGGTTTTAAAAAGCTTCATGAATTTAATATTTCTATGGTGGGCAGAAATGCATGGAAGCTCCTATCTGCACCAAATTCTTTTGTTGCTCGTCTTCTCAAGGCTAAGTATTTTCCCAATACGAACTTTTTGAATGCTCAATTGGGATGCAACCCAAGCTTTGTTTGGCGTAGTCTTCATGACTGTCAAGAGCTGATTCGTAAGGGGGCTTGTAAGAGAATTGGCAGAGGATCCTCTACATCAATTTGGAATGATCCTTGGCTTTACATGACCGAATCTTTGAGGGTTACTACTCCTATGCCTGTGGACACAGATTTGTCTATTGTAGCAGATTTAACAAGTAATGGCTCTTGGAGATCTGATGTTCTGCTTCATCAGTTTTGTGAGGCAGACAGGGAGGCAATTCTTTCAATTCCAATCAGCTCTCGTTTCCATGAGGATAGTTGGTTCTGGAAATTCGAAAAGAAAGGCCTATATACTATTAAAAGCTCCTATAAAATATTGACTCCTGTAAGTCCTTCTTTTGCTGCCTCTGATTTTTCTTCTATGTGGCGTAAGCTGTGGAATTTGCAAATACCTCCTAAGTGTCGAAACTTCTTATGGCGTCTGTGTTTGAACGCCCTGCCCACTGTACCAGCACTTCAACATTTGAGACGCCGCGCATGCCTCATGTACCAGCACTTCCAACATCAGAAAGAATTCCAGTTTTTACTTCCTGATTAATTTGTGTGGGAATCATGAGGAATACGTTAGTGGCAATCTTATTTGTGGATCTACGCCTTTTGAACCGCTCGCTGCTGGTGGAAACGTTAGTGCATCTATTTGTGGACTACCCTTTTGCACGCTCCTGCTGGTCTGTTTCATCTGTTGGCCACCGTACTGCCTCATCTGGAAATTTCATTGACTGGTTTAGTTCTTTATTGGGGCAGCTGAATAATGATTTATCTAAAGAGTTTGCAATGATACTTTGGTCTTTGTGGGAGGCTCGAAACGCAGCTGTTTGGAAAGGGGTATTTCAAGACCAATGGCACGTTAAGCGTAAAGCGGGTTCTGTGTTAAATGACTGGGAAAGAGCTCAAACTGTGGTACAAAGAACACATCAGCCTGCACAGCTGGTGCAATGGTCACGTCCACCAGAGGGGACCTTGAAGATTAATGTGGACGGTGCTTGTTTCTCAACTGGTTATGCAGGTGTGGGTTATGTGGCTCGTGATTGCAATGGTGCTTTTATTGGTGCTTTCCAAAAATCTTTCAGCGGTGCTCTTGAACCCAGGTTTGTGGAATTGTTGGCTATTCATGAGGCTTTATCCTGGATCAAAAGAGAAGGCTGGCATCTAGTTATGGTAGAATCAGATGCTCTTGACTGTGTCCGTGCAGTCCTGGATTCGAATTATGTTGATGATTCTAGTTTTGGTTTGTTTGTTATTGATTGTAAATCTCTGCTTAGTTAGTGAGCTTCGACGATGTCAATCTTTCTTATGTTCGTAGATCTGCTAATGGATAAGCTTCATAGGTATGGCTAGAGCTTGTCTCATGGAGAGCCAGATCCTGGTGGTTTGGGTTTGTCTCTCCCTTACGACCTCTGTATTTCGATTCTTTCTTGCTGTTTTAATATAAATTCTACCCAACATTTCCTCAAAAAAAAATAAAAAAATAATAATTCGTGAAGCAATAAGATGAAAAGATAATAAGGGAGTTACAAAAAGCAAAGTTTTTGAGAGATTAAAAAATTTTGATCAATGGGCTTTTACTCTCTAAAACAAAAACCACAACATCTTCATAAGGAAAAGATGGCCTTTTTATAGAGTATAGAGGGATGAAGATCCCATTTTAGAAAGTATAATCTTTAGCTTTTAAATAAGAATTTTGACTTTCCAAAACTAGAAGATACGGAGATCTTGTTACCAAAAAAAAAAAATTGAGTCAAAATCTTTTCTTTTAAGGTAAGCCAATAAAAGCAAGATTTTGGACTTCCTTAAAAATGGTTTCCGAAAATAAAAATAAAAAAATCTATTTCAAAATATTTTATTAACAAAAATGATTAAGACAAAATCTCTTTTATTTAGGTAAGCGAATAAAAGCAAGATCTTTATAAAGATAGTTTCCGAAAATGAAAAGTATAAAAATAGTAAAGAACAATCTTTTCAAAAATTATTATTACTGCACAAACATTGAATTCCAAGACACAAAGTCTCTTTCATTTAGGATTAAGTAAATTGGAGGGACTGAGATCTTTGATTTTCCAAAGAAAGTTTCGAAATATGTAAGTTTGAGAAAGAGAGAGAAGAAAATATCTTTTGTGCCCTTAGTAAATGGAAAAATACTTTTGTGCTTATAAATGAATGTTTTCTCTATCCTACAACAAATCCTAATATACCAACCACCAAAATCTTCAATGGTCTTCATGATCTTCAATTAATCTTGGATTTATAGGAATTTGCATTGTTTATTAATTTCCATATTCAAAAATAAATAAATCTGTATAAAATAATATTAGCACAGATAAAATAATTAAATTTATTTATCTTGCTTAATCATCAAAATCTCAAGATAAAATTGACCCCTGAGCCAACAATCTCCCCCTTGTTGATAATGAAAAAACCAATAAATTTATCAAACATAAAGTCATGTGCTCCCCCTAAATTTATGCATGCCAACAAATTATAAGTTCTAAAAGATAACATATTTTATTATGAAGTAGAATTAAAACTTATATAAAGCTCACCCTGAATAAGTGCAGTAAAGTATCTATAGGGATTAGAACAAAAAAAAGTTTTAGAAATTGATATTAAAACATATATTTAGAATTAAAAATTGATTTCTAAAGTCTAATAATCAGAGCATATGATCGGAGCAAAAAGAAATAGAAACTGACATTAAAAAACTAAGTCCTAAGTCTAACCTGCAAAGCATACGTTAGAATAGAGAACTAAGTTCTAAAATTTAGCTATCAGATCATCATATAAAACATATAGCCCATATTCTATTTTCTATTTATATGGAAACAAAATAACACGGATTAGAACATGATAAGCATACAGAGATTGATTAGAACAATGATAAGCATACAGAGATTAGTACTAAAAAATGTACATACTCCTTCAGAGTACTTAATCGCCACTAATTTTTCTATTTATATGGAAACAAAATAACACGGATTAGAACATGATAAGCATACAGAGATTAGTACTAAAAATGTAACATACTCCTTCAGGTACTTAATCACCATAATATCCTGTGTTCTCCCCCTTTTTATCATCATAAAAGAGGGTTAGTAAAAAAAGCAAAGCAAATAAGCAAAATCAAAGATAACAAATCTAGAAAATTTAAACAGAATTCAAATAACACAAACTACAAACACAAATGAAGAACTAAAACAAGTAACAACAAAAGTAGTTATAAAACATAGTCAGAACAGATTAGAAGGGAGTCAGAGGGGTTTGGAATTAGTTCTAAGTCTCTTAGAACTTCTGAGGTTCTATGCAGGAGAAGTTTCAGCGGGACTCTCAGGACGTTTTACCTTTAGAGTAGCTAGACTTCTCTCATTGAAATTTTTCATCCTTTCTAAAGACTCAATGAGGGATTGGTTGTGTGCAGTCATAGCCTTACCCTGTTTGATAGCCTCATCAAGCTCCTTATTATGCTCTTTAATGAGTTCTTTTTCCATTTTTCCAAGCATAACCTCTCTACTCCTTTGTGCTGTCAGAAATTTTGATTCCTTCTTGGCCTCAACCTTAGTCTCTTTTTCTTTTTCACTTAATTCTAGCTTTTCTGTATCAGCATCACTAGCTTCCTCAACTTCTACTGCCTCTCCTTTGTCAGTCTCTTTTCCAGGATCAACAGAATCCTTTTTCTCTTTAGTTCCTGCTTTATTTTTTTCTTCTTCTAACTCTTTTTCTGATTCTATTTCAACCTCAACTGCTGTCTCTTTTTCTTTTTCTGACTCTTCCTTTTTCTCTTCTTTTGATTCTTCTTTCTTTTCTTCTTTCTCAACTTCCTCTAATTTTCCTTTTCCTTTTACTAACTCTTCTCTTCTTCATCTTCTTATTTCAGTTTCTTCTTCTTCTTCTTCTATCCTTAATTCTTCTTTTTCTGCCTTTTCTTTGTCCTCAGCAACTTCTTTTTCTTTTACTTCTTCACCTTCTTCATCTTTTAGTTTCAAGGATCCACTATCCAACTTTGAAACATTGTGACCCTCACTCTTATTTAAATCAGCTTCCAAAAACTCAAAAATAGGGGTAAGCACCATACCATAGGGTAATTTTTGGGTTGTTTTGCATTATATCAAAAATAATATGGCACAGATTGAAGGGTTTCTTTTCAATTATATGCCACATTATGCACAGTTCAACTTGGTTTACATATGTGAGCAAACCGCTCTTTGGATAGATAAATTGCACAATAAGCTTATACAACCACTTCATGCTGTCATTCAAATTGGAGCACTCAATCACATTCTATTTTTTCGCAGAACCCCTCCAAATAATTTTCTTTACAAAATCTTCCTTTTTATACCCATCTACCCTAGAGATATCCTTTATCTTTGCTACCCTAGACCCAGTATTTGGTATTTTGAAAATTTCGCTCAAATTAGTGTAAAATAACACTTTGGTTTCACCCTCGATTCACTTTGGTTTCACCCTCGATTTTCACAAACAGTGTCTCTGAACCAGTGGCTTTGAGAGAGCCATAAAATTCCTTTACCAAATTCTCATAGCAAGGTCTATTTGAAGACAAAAACTTGATCCATCCCTGGAACTCAAATAGTTCCTTAAAGTTGAATTCTTCTTTTCCAAAGAACTTCTAGTCAATAAAATATGAACGCATAAGCGGATGAGGAGATAAAAATGGCTTTACCTTTGTTGCGAGAACCAGAGACCCGTTCCTTTGATTTTTCTTCCCCTTTTGATTTTTCCGTTTTACTTTTCAATTTGTCTTTCTTTAAACTCGATTCCTCAATGAATGTCTTCTATCCTGATTCTTTCTGTTCATACTTCTTGGATAATCTCTTAAGAAGTTGAAGTTCTTGTTCTATTAAAGAATTAGAGGAGGAAGAAGTAGAACTTGATCTGGCCATGGTTAGGGTTTTTGAAGCATAAAGAGTTTAGGGTTTCGTTTGTGAGAAGGAATTCTTCTTTTTCTGCCTTTTCTTTGTCCTCAGCAACTTCTTTTTCTTTTACTTCTTCACCTTCTTCATCTTTTAGTTTCAAGGATCCACTATCCAACTTTGAAACATTGTGACCCTCACTCTTATTTAAATCAGCTTCCAAAAACTCAAAAATAGGGGTAAGCACCATACCATAGGGTAATTTTTGGGTTGTTTTGCATTATATCAAAAATAATATGGCACAGATTGAAGGGTTTCTTTTCAATTATATGCCACATTATGCACAGTTCAACTTGGTTTACATATGTGAGCAAACCGCTCTTTGGATAGATAAATTGCACAATAAGCTTATACAACCACTTCATGCTGTCATTCAAATTGGAGCACTCAATCACATTCTATTTTTTCGCAGAACCCCTCCAAATAATTTTCTTTACAAAATCTTCCTTTTTATACCCATCTACCCTAGAGATATCCTTTATCTTTGCTACCCTAGACCCAGTATTTGGTATTTTGAAAATTTCGCTCAAATTAGTGTAAAATAACACTTTGGTTTCACCCTCGATTTTCACAAACAGTGTCTCTGAACCAGTGGCTTTGAGAGTTGAGAGAGCCATAAAATTCCTTTACCAAATTCTCATAGCAAGGTCTATTTGAAGACAAAAACTTGATCCATCCCTGGAACTCAAATAGTTCCTTAAAGTTGAATTCTTCTTTTCCAAAGAACTTCTAGTCAATAAAATATGAACGCATAAGCGGATGAGGAGATAAAAATGGCTTTACCTTTGTTGCGAGAACCAGAGACCCGTTCCTTTGATTTTTCTTCCCCTTTTGATTTTTCCGTTTTACTTTTCAATTTGTCTTTCTTTAAACTCGATTCCTCAATGAATGTCTTCTATCCTGATTCTTTCTGTTCATACTTCTTGGATAATCTCTTAAGAAGTTGAAGTTCTTGTTCTATTAAAGAATTAGAGGAGGAAGAAGTAGAACTTGATCTGGCCATGGTTAGGGTTTTTGAAGCATAAAGAGTTTAGGGTTTCGTTTGTGAGAAGGTCGTTTGTGAGAAGGAGATAGAGAAGAGAAAACAGTTTTAATAGAAGAGAGACGTGATTAATTTAGAGAAGTTATAAAATTTAGGAAAGAAAGAAACACTTAAAAGAGAATTTATAATAAAGAAGAAAATTTAAACATATAAAATAAGGGTTTTAAGGAAAGTTAAACCGACTAAAATATTTTTAAAAAAATAACGCAAAAAAACAAACAAAACAAAACAAAATAAACACAGAATAAACACACAACAAAATAAAATAAAAGAAATCGACTGTTTTTAATTTTGTCTAAAAA